TGACCTTAGTGTGCACGAGACTCTGGTGATGAACCCCCAGGCCCAGTGACTCATTCTCTCAAGGTATTTGGTTATGGCTAAGAAGTTTTCATCATTTTGCCCCTTATGTGCTCTTTTATATTCATGGAGAAATATTTGTGGTACATATAAATATATATGTAGAAATATCCTCTGTCAAACAAATAAATTTATGGGTGTTCCACTCACTTTCCTCCTGATGTTCAGCTTGTGTGTCTATGAATCCCAACCCACCCACTGCCATCAAGTTGATTCCAACTTGATGTGGAATCATAGTGACTCTATGGATCAGAGTAGAAGTGTTCCATAGGGTTTCCAAAACTGGAAGCAGACTGCTTCATCTTTCTCCCGTGGAGTGTCTGGTGAGTTCAAACTGCCGACCTTTTGGTTAGCAGCCAAATGGTTTAAATATATGTATTTACTCAGATTATAGTTGTCACTGTTATTATAGGATTAAGTGTGTTATAGTATTTATTTTTGTTATCTTTAACTCCTGTGCTCCTCTCAGTGTTTTCCTTTGCCTTGATAATTCTGTATTCTTTTCCCTTACTGTCTATTGCCTTCACTTCACCCAAGTTAATATATGTCTTAATAATAATAATAATAATAATAATGTGTGTACCTTCTAGTTAATGATTCGTCCTCCCTTCCCTCCGACTTCTAATAACCTTTAAAGAATTACTCTTTCTGTATGTTAACCTTTTCTTGACTTTTTACAGAAATGATAACATGCAATATTTGTGCTCTTCAGAGTGCCTAAGCCATTTGACTGCTAACCAGAAGCCTGGCAGTTCAAACCCACCAGCCACTCCTAGGAAGGAAGATGCTAGTGAGACTTGATGCTTGTGAGAATTTCAACTCAGCAATGGATTATCTTTCCTTGGAATGGGCACAAATATGGTTGGCCGAGTAGTTGTCTTCCAAATTCTTTGGCATAGACAAGTGAGCTCGTCCCATGTTGCATTTATTTATTGGAAACATCTTCAATTCCTGGATCCTTGTTTTTCGTCAATGCTTTCAGTGTAGCTTGGACTTGTTCCTTGAGTACCATTAGTTCTTGATCATATGCTGCATCTTGAATTGGCTGAAGATCTCTCAGTTGTTTTTGGTACAGTGACTCTGTATTTCTTCCCCCTCCTTTTGATGCTTCCTGTATCATTCAATATTTTGCTCATAGAATCCTTCAATATTATAACTTCACACTTGAATTTTTTCTTCAGTTCTTTCACCTTGAGAAATGCTAAAATGTATTCTTCCTTTTTGGTTTTCTAATGCTAGGTATTTGTACATTTCATTTTAATACTTTGTCTTCTCAATCTGCTCTTTGAAATCTTCTGCAGCTCTTTTATTTCATCATTTCATCCATTTCCTTTAGCTACTGTACATTCAAGAGCAAGTTTCAGTGTCTCTTCTGATATCCATTTTTGTCCTTTCTTTCCTGTCTTTTCAATGACCTTTTGCTTTCTTCCTATATGATGTGCTCGATATAATCCCACAATTTATGTAGTCTTTAGTCATCAATATTCTGTGCATCAAGTATATTCTTGAGATGATCTCTAAATTCAGATGGGATATACACTAAGTTGTATTTTGATTCTCATGGACTTGTTTTAATTTTCTTGAGCTTCAGTTTGAACTTGCACATGAGCAATTGATGGTCTGTTTTCAGCCAGCCCCTGACCTCATTCTGACTAATGATATTGAGCCTCTCTATCATCTCTTTTCACAGTTACAGTCTATTTGATTCTTGAGTTTTCACTCCAGTATGGTTCATGTGTATAGTTGGAATTTATGTTGTTGAAGGAAGGTATTTACAATGAATAAATTGTTGATCTTGCAGAATTCCATCATATGATCTCTGGTGGTGTGTCTGTCATCAAGGCCGTATTTTCTAACTACAAGTCCTTCTTCCTTGTTTCCACTTTTTGCATCCCAGTCATCCTTTGGTGGCTTACATGTTTCTGTGATGCTGGAAGCTATGCTACTGGTATTTCAGTTATCAGCAGGGTCACCCATAGTGGACAGATTTCAGTGGAATTTCCAGACTAAGATAGACTAGAATGAAAGACTTTGCAATCTACTTCTGGAAAAAATTGGCCAAAGAAAACCTTATGAATAGCGATGAAACATTGTGTGATATAGTGCTGGAAGGTGAACTTCTCAGGTTGGAAGGCACTCAAAATACAAATAAGGAAGAGCTCTCTCCTCAAAGTAGAGTTGACCTTAGTGATGTGGATAGAGTAAAGCTTTCAAGATCTTCATTTGCTGTTGTGGCACAACTCAAAATGAAAAGAAACAGTTACAAATTTCCAATAAAGACAGTAATGTGGATTGCATGAAGTATGAATCTAGGAAAATTGAAAGTTGTAAAAAAATGAAATAGAATGTATGAAGATCAATATCCTAGGCATTAGTCAGCTGAAATGGACTGGAATTGGGCATTTTGAGTTGGACAATCATATGGACTACTATGTTGACAACTTAAGAGAGGAATGGCATCACAGTCATCATTAATAAAACAATTTCAAGATCTGTCCTGAAGTATAATGCTGTCAGTGATAGGACAATATTTATATACCTGCAAGTTAGACCTGTTAATAGGACTGTTATTCAGATTTACCCACCAACCACTATAGCCAAAGATGAAGAAATTGAAGTTTTTTGGTTTTGTTTTTTTTTTTTTTTTTTGGTACTAATTTCTGTAGTGTGAAATTGAAAAAACATGTGATCGAGATGCATTGATAATTACTGGTTATTGGAAAGTACCAGGACAGAAACTTTATTTTTTTTATTATCCATTTCAACAAGTGAAACAAGGAAATCCAGCTGAACATTGGTGTGCCATCACCATAACTATATTAGCCTTTGTGGTTAGGTATTTGCTATTTGTGACCTTGATGTTTTTCTTTTTATTAACCTTGCCACATATCCTTTACTGTAAGTTATCCTAATCCTATCCCCCTTTTATTTGTAAGGAGGCAGGCTGTATATTAAAAAAAATTACTAAAGGTATATAGAAATTAAAGTAGGTTTATCTATATTTCATCCCATATTAAAAAGCCATTGAAATATAATGTTACTATCATAGATTTTCCTAAATAGTGAGTTCCCACGGAACATTTACGATATAACTTATTGGTCTTCCTTTGTTCATAACTTACCTATTCTTTAAGGTGAAATCACCTAGAATACTTTATGTTGTCTGATTTGTGATATCCTACCCATTGTTACTTTATTTCTTTATCTCCTGATACAATTTATCACTATACAATTGTAATTAAATATCAATACATGGTGTTATATGCAGCATGATAAAGTTACCTTTTGTATTCACATCAAATCTGTCCCTTGCTCTTCCCATTGTCAATGTCATGACTATCATCAGCATTCTTCCTACACCCTTAGTGGTTGTAGCATGGGCATTATCTATAAGCGACTTAGGAACACAGAATCTCAGGCCCTGTCCCCATCCTAGTAATCAGAGTCTGCGTTTTCCAAGCTCCCCAGGCAATGCTTATGCACATTAAAGTGAGAGAAGAGCTGTTCTCTTTTACGGAGTAACATGCTAACCTGCCACAAATGTCCCTGTTTGTCGTTTATACCTTTCTTTCTAAAACATAGCTCCAGTGGTGTTAGTCTCTTACTTCTTTGTCTGGTTACGAGAATTCACTTATGTATAAGCACCTTGATATTTTTGTTAAAAACACAGATTACCAGGCCTTTTCACTGATTTAATGGGTCTTAGGAAGGGTAGGAATCTGTTCTTTTTAACATGATTCTCGGGAGGTTCTGATGATCAGATAACACTCATCCATGATATAAGTTGAGCCGCCTTAGCATGGCCTTCAGGTGCACCTCAGTGTGGGCTTCGCCCTGTCCCCCCACTCTTTTCTTGCTACACTGAGACCCTGACTAAACTAAACTGTTCTCCCAGCACACATAGTATTTGCACCCCTCAGTGCCTTGGCTAATAACTCTTCCCTCCAGTCATTACTTCTTGGGATTCTTCCTGCCTTCCCTCAGATACCACTTCTTCTGGAGAATGGCACTGGCTCCTCCTAGCAGAACTAGGATTCCCTCTTCCTTGCACCCATCACTTTTTGCTTTTTTCTTTTAATACCTATCCCATTCTGCTTTGATTTATCATTGTTTATGCCCCATACATCAAATTATGAAACACATTTTTTAACAAATTTTATCATTTGTTTAACAATTGCTTGCAACATTTCAACATTTTTCGTGTGTACAATTTGGTGACATTAATTACGTTTATCATGTTGTCCAGCCATTACCATTATCCGTTTCCAATTTTTCCTATCACCTTCTTCTCCATACATCTTCCCCCACTGACCTAGTAAGCTCCCTGAAGAACAGACTTCTGTGTCTGATGTCTTTGTACTACTTGCACCTCTCCCCTTATGTTTATAATTTCCCATCATGAAGCTCTTATGAATACATTGAATTGAATGGAAATGTTTTTAAGAATTCATATCCTACTAAGCATCATTTATTAAAAGTCCTGAAAACCACAAATAATGTGAAATGAACAACAGAATATGGAGTATATTGGACACTTAGTGAATGTCTTAAAGGAGATTTTACCCACTAATAGTCTTATTTGCCTCTTTCATGACAATTTTTGTTGGCAGACACCAACCCATTCAACAGCTGAGGCTCTGTTGTACAGCCTGTGAGTGCTACCTGCCAATATCAGGGGCTTTCTTCCAGGTTTTGTCATTAGTATTTAAGGAGCTAATGAATTCTTCTGAATTATTTGGTGCTAGCACTTCTTAAAAAAATATAATAGAAAGGTTTTTTGTTTTCTTTTTCACAGCTATTTTTGAAAACCCAATCCCCTGTGTAAAAAAATGAAATTATGTCTACAGTCTGCTAGAATGTTTATATAAGATTTGTCATAATAACTTGTTCTTTTTGTTTCAGCAATTCAATACAACTTAAAAATACTTATTGCCCTCTTACAGGTGGTTAATAGTGAAAGATTCCTTTTTACTGTACATGAAACCAGATAGTGGTGCTATTGCGTTCGTCTTGCTGGTAGATAAAGAATTCAGAATTAAGGTGGGGAAGAAGGAGACAGAGATTAAATATGGACTCCGAATTGATAATCTCTCAAGGTAGACATTTTAAATATTTTTTTAAAGATTTCTACTAAAATCTCTTAAAAACATTAAATTTTTTCTCTTAACTTTAAGTGATATAGGTAAAATTATTTATATGTCCAAAATTATTAAGAAGTCATTGTCAATCACAGTGAATGAAAGTAATTTTTCCTTGTACATCATTTTAAGGATAGAATATCCTTTGTGAAACAGAAACCAAAAAAGAAAATCATTCCATTTTTAGATATATGCCTGTTTTAACAAAATTTACTGCTCATTAATACCAATTGACCAAACAAATAAATTAAGGGATGATAGTTCCCATTTTAAAAAAAATAAAATAACATTTTTACTTTATAAATTTATATCCTTTAATTAAACAAGTGATCTTATTTATAAATATTCTGTACATACACAGATTTTAAGAAAGATATCTTGAAAAGATAACTCAAGTGTACATTTACCATGGATGTTATTAGTAAGTGTGTATGTGTGTTTATATACATGTTTCTTTTTGGAAGACTGTAGTTATACCATGTGTGTCTTTCTCCATTTACCTATACACATATAATACAGCCTTATGTATGTGAAAAAAAAAATATATATATATATACACACACACACATGGGAGCTCTGGTAGCATAGTGGCTAAAACACTTGCCTGCTAACCAGACGGCTGGCGGTTCAAACCCTCCAGCCACTCCTCGGAAGGAAGGTTGGGCAATCCTACTTCCGCAGTGATACTGCCTCAGAAACCCAAGGAGGGGTCGCTATGAGTCGGGTTTGACTCGACGGCACATAACAACAACAAATATACACACTTTTTTTATACACATACACATACATACATACACATATATATCCCTAGTATATATATATATGTTTGTGTATGTGTAAAAAGATGCTGAAATTCCTGATTCTCGGAAGGAAGATGGGGCAATCTACTTTTGTAGTGATACTGCCTCGGAAACCCAAGGAGGGGTCGCTATGAGTCAGGTCCTACTTGATGGCACATAACAACAACAACAACAACAACTTTGGCAATGGAAGGTTCAGGATTAGTCATTGGAAATACAATGACTGCCTTAAACTTTCTTCCTATTGCTGCATTTCTATTTTCCAGAGGGCAGCAGAGTCAGGCCATAATTCTCATTGGTCCTTGTAACGGTTACTTTTTTGGCCTACCCTGTGCAGCACTGCCAAATGAGTCCATCCAAATCCACATCTCCTTAGCTTCCTTCCTAGTTTAAGCTCTTCCAACCATCTACCAAATTACCCCCAATTCCTCCATTTATGATATAAAATTCTTTATCTCTCTTACTTAATTTGCAGCCACACCCTGTTATAGCCCTTCAGGCACAGTGAAGGCAGTTCTTTTACCATCCCTCCTCACACATTTCTTCTTTCCTCTTTACCTTTGCTCTTCCTGTCTCCATGTTTGACAAAGTTTTTATTTTTCTTATCTCCGATCCACATACTGTGACAAGGCCTCCCCTTATCACTTCGGTTTTCCACAAAATCTTGTCATAACTGGTTTTCAGAGGCATTTCAACTCACATTCTACTAGCTTCATCAGTTTGGCCTAAGCCTAGGCAGCCCCATGACTTCTGGCCCCTGACCTGGGAAATTTCTTTCTTTTTCTACCCTTGATGGATGCTTCATTCCTCTCAGCTCCACTATGTCTCTACCTCCCCGTCTCCACATCCTAGCAACATTAGGCATTCTGATGGTTCAGTGGCTTTTCAGATAAGAGCCAGTTATCAATCTCTGACATATTGAAGGGAGTGGTTTGGGTACCCTTAATCTACTAACCAGAAGTTTGGTGATTCAAACCCACCCAGCAGCTCCATGGGAGAAGAGATTTGACAATCCACTCTTGTAAAGATTGCAGCCTAGAAAACCCTATGGAGCGTTCTATTCTGTGACATTGGGTCACTTTGAGCAAGAATCTACTCAATAGCACTCAAAACCACAACAATCTTTATAAATAAATATTTTAGGGTCTGTGAACATAGCCCCTTCCTTGCTTCTCATCAGGATTATTGTATTCCCCCTAAAAACAATCTCTCCCTCCACACTCAATCAAACCCCCTGCCAGCAAGTTGATTCTGACTCATAGCAACTCTATAGGGCAGAGTAGAACTGTTGGATAGCATTTCCAAGGCTGTAAATATTTTCAGGTGCAAACTGCCTCATCTTTTTCCTTCAGAACAGCTGGTGGGTTTGAACCACATACCTCTTGGTTAATGTCAAAACACATTAACCCACTGTACCAGCAAGGCTCCTTCCCTCACTCACAGTCCTCTGCTTATATGGGAATGGGGATGGACTTATCAGCACTTATAAATCTGTAACAGTTTAGGATAGTTTTGTCATGAGTAATAGAAAAATCCAATGAAAACTGGCTTACACTAAATCAGAATTAATCAGTCTCATTGGTTCCAGATATGGCTGATTCTGGCCTTCTTCTGTGGCTCTGCTCCACTTGCTAGATGGTCACTTCATGGCTACTTCCCACCATTCACATCAAATTCAGCACAAAGGAAAGAGTCTCTTCCTGCCATTTCCGAGCTAGTCCTCAGATTCTTCTCTGACTGGGTAGAGCTGAATCACATACTCAGCCCTGAACCAGTCTCTGGGATCAGGAGGATGGAATATGCCATTTTGCTTGTCATTGGTTGGTCAGAATAGGGAAGGGATGCCCTCCTAAAGACTAATTAGGATGATATTTCCAGAAGGCAAGGGAATGAATGCCAGGGAGCAGAAAAAGAAGTGTCCTTTATAGGAGCCATCAACTCTTTACCCAACTCTTAAAAGAAAGACCTTGCCTTATATTTTTTGTTATTCTCCTTACAGCCTAGCTCAACTCTAAGTCTACAATAAGTAGACTAATGTGTGTTTGTATGAGTGAATAAGTGGGTGAGTGAATAAACAATCTGAAATTTAATTTGTGATATATTGAATATAATTAGAAATCCTTCTAGAAAATTTTTAAAGCCTGCTTTTTTGATATAGGATAAGATACTGTTTGCCTAAAATTGTCAATTTATGTTTGCTGCAGTAACAAAATAAAACCTGGCATATTTAATCTTAAATTTATTTTAAAAAACAGAACACAGAGTGACCATTCTTTTCCTCATTTTGCTTTTCTTTGAAGGACGCTTATTTTAAAATGCAACAGCTATAGACATGCTCGCTGGTGGGGGGGAGCTATAGAAGAATTCATCCACAGACATGGCGCCAACTTTCTCAAAGATCATCGGTTTGGGTCATATGCTGCTATCCAAGAGCACACTTTAGCTAAATGGTAAGATCTTTTTGCTCTAAGACTGTCAAGGAAGCCATAACATCTAATATTATAGTGGACTAAATTCACATGGAGGTGATTTTCAAAATTGTGAAAAGATACATAATGAGCCTGGTAGCATAGTGGCTAAAGCACTTGACTGCTTAACCAGAAGGCTGGCGGTTCAAACCCACCAGCCACTCCTCGGAAGGAAGGTTGGGCAATCCTACTTCCGTAGTGATACTGCCTCGGAAACCCAAGGAGGGGTCGCTATGAGTCGGGCCGACTCGACGGCACATAACAACAACAACAACAACAAGCCTCTCTTTTATAGGCATTTATGGGAATACCTAGGGGAGCTTTGGTGGCTTAGAGCCTAAGGCACTTGACTGCTAACCAGAAGTCTGGTGGTTCAGATCCACCAGCTACTCCTCAGAAGGAAGGTTGGGCAATCTACTTCCATAGAGATACCACCTCAGAAACCCAAGGAAGGGTTGCTATGAGTCAAATCAACTCAACGGCAATGTGTTTGGTTTTTTTCAGTTTTTTGTTTTTTAAAACAGGATTATCTGAGCATAGAATAGTTTTCCTATTTTTGTTTTCATGATTTTTCACAGTGAACTTTATATAGCTAGCTTTCGATTTTGAAGTCTGATTTTTAAAGCTGTCGGTGGCTTTCTAACCTCACACATTTTCTTAATGAGGCAAATGGAAGATTTGTTTAAGTCATTAGCCATAATTTAGGAAAGAGAATTTAATTGCTAGATACTTCTTTTAAAATCAGGTTTAGCATGTTTTTCTACCCATGGATTGGAGACTAGGCTGCTTTAAGTCTCAGAAGAACAACCATGTATGAGTTCAGCCAAAAGAAAAACGAAGAAACTTATCGCCATCGAGTCAGTTCCAAATCACAATGACCCTCCAAGTAGAACTGCCCCAAAGGTTTCCAAGGTCATAGTTTTTATGGAAGCAGGTGCCACATCTTTCTCCTACAGAGGAGTAGCTAGTAGGTTCAATGCACCAACCTTTCTGTTAACAGCTGAGCGCTTAACCACTGCACCACCAGTTCAATTCCTTTTGAATTCAACAAGATGGGAGAATTCATCAGGCCTCTCAATAATGATGAGGCTTAAGTTGTTGTTCTCTGGGCAAAAAAAGAGGGAGCTCTGGTGGTGCTGTGGTTAAAGCATTGGGCTGCTAACCCAGAAGGTCAGTACCCACCAGCCACTCCACAGGAGAAAGATGGGGCAGTCTGCTTCAGTAAAGGTTTACAGCCTTGGAAACCCTATGGGGCAGTTCTACTCTGTCCAACAGGGTCACTGTGAGTCAGAATTGACCCGATAGCAGTGAGTTTGGTTTGGTTAAGCAAAGAAGAATCAGTTTGCTTACTTCTGTCTGCTTACTGTCCTTCTCAGGTATCAGATGGTAGGTAATGTTTTCAATTTTTGTTTCCCAGTCACACACTATAAAATGGTTGTGTGCAGACTCTAGGCCTGTGATTTCCATGTTGTGCTTTACTGTAGGATATGTTTATTTTCTTTCTTTCTTTATTTTATTTTTGTAAAAAACAAAACACCACCAACAAGAAAATAAAAAAACCTTGTCTTTCAGGTATGTTAACGCCAAAGGATATTTTGAAGATGTGGCAAACGCAATGGAAGAGGCTAAGGAAGAGATTTTTATCACAGATTGGTGGTTAGTATTTGTCCCTGGGGATTTTGTCTTGGATATCTAAATGTTTAGAAGTTTACAAAGTGTAGTGCTGTTCAAGAATCGTGTGTTACGGAAGTCGGCCATATCCACAGATGGTTTGGCCAGTCTCAACCAATTAACTGTAATAGCATCCAGTCAAAGACCTTTTCAAAACACTTGGAATCCAAATATATTCTTAAAATATTTAACTTGAACAATTTTGTTTTTGTCTCCATTTGGAAGGAGATACTCAAGTATTCGTTTGAGTAAAGATTATGCTGCAAGGCAAATGTAGTTGTGGAAAGTTATGGAAAATAATCCTCTTTGGGCACCTTTGCTCATTTCAGTGTGTCTGCTACCAGGTCCAGTGAAGATATTTTGTCTGAATTATGTCTCTTTGATGTTGAAATTGTTCTGTTTGCCTATTACTTTTAAAAACATCCTTTGTCATGACTAGGGCTGGTCAATTATTCTGGTAATACACCAAGTTTCAACTTTCTGATCCTTTCAAAGTTTGTGAGAATTTATGATGCTTATTAAGGTCACCAGAAGTCTTGCATCTAAAACTCATTTAGCTCTTGGGAAATTTTACTCCTGGAATTGATGTAGGCTTTGTAGTCTGACTTCAGTTCAATTGCCTGTCTGCCTGAATATTTAAAACCCATTGCAAAGGCCAAAATCAACTACAGTGGAAATGGAAATATCTAAAATATGTTTTCATTCTAAGAATTCAGTTGCCTAAAAGTGCCTCTTATTTTCTGTTTTTTTTTTCCCAAAATGATGCCTTATATGAGAACTATGAAAATATCATCATAACTTATTTCTTCTAATTCTAGTTATTATGGAGAGAGAAGAGTAGAATATGAACCCATTTTCTTATATGGTTTTGCATCAGTGACATGGAAATACCAAATTCGTGGACAATTTACTTTTTTCAACCTTGGCACTATTGGCATTGGATGATATGTTTCTTTGTTGTAGGAGATTGTCCTTTGCATTGTAGGATGTTTATCGGGACCCCTGGCCTCTGCTCATTAAGCTTCAGTAGCCACCTCCTAGTTGTGACAACAAAAATATCTACAGACTTTGCCAAATGTCCTTTGGGGGAAACATCTGCCTGGTTGAGACTCACTGACCTAAAGTCAATAGATTGCTATGTGACTGACAGTATGTCTGTGAATCAGTTTATTCTCATATCCATGGTGGAGCTTAATCATACAATTTGTGATTTTGACAAATTTGTCTTTTTGGTCAGTTTCATTCTTAGGATTTTTTTTCCTCTTTTGAGTATTTTGTAAACACGAGAATAAATTCAAGTTTAATGTAGTACTATATTCTTTTTTAAAAAATATTTCTGGCAAAGACTGAGAAAGATCGAAAATTTTTCCATTGAGTGCATATTTTTATGCTTTGTGTAAGAAAATAGTATCTCTTTTAAAGGTCCGGAACACTAAAACACAGGCTTTCATTTTAAACATCTAAGGAGATGAAGGCCTGAAAGTTTTTTCTTCTACTGTCAGCAAGAGAATGAATCAGAAGGGTATTTCTTTTTAGTGACTGCACTAGGATAACATCTTATTACAACATGCTCTTTGAAATAAGAAAATAACAAACCCCTGATATATTTGGATCTGAGAGTGTGAAAACATATTCAGGAATGCAGTTGTCCTTAAGAGGCTTCAAATTTAATTCAAAAGACAGCATATGGTATACTTATGTGAAAACTGACGACCAGAACTAAACTAGTTCACAGACATAGTACCAGGCACATAACGATCTATTGGCTTTAGGTCAGTGATTCTCAACCAGGGAGATGTTGCCCCCTAAGGACATTTGGCAAAGTCTGTAGATATTTTTGTTGTCACAACTAGGAGGTGACTACTGAAGCCTAATAGGTAGAGGCCAGGGGTGCTGATAAACATCCTACAATGCAAAGGATGTACTTCTAAAACAATTAGCATGCAAGCAGGGCAAACACAGTGAAATGAGGAACAAAAGTAAATCCTAGGGACCTACAAGTGCTTAGTTCTGGTTGTTATTAATTCATTTATTCATCCATTGGTTAATTATTTGCTCATTCATTCAAGAGTTATTTAGTGAGTACTTTGTGTCAGCTACTGAGATAAGCTGTGTAAATACAAAGATGAATGAGAAGCAGCTCCTAAAACTGTACAGATCAGGAAGTTAGATATAAGACAGGACTGGGGAAAAACTCATTGATGAGGACCAATGTAGAAGGCACAGGGGGAACACAAAGAAAGAGTAACCATGACCTGCAGGCATGGTAGAAGCTTCACAGAAGAGAATGCTGGGATGGCTCTAGGGTGATGGAGTAGACCCCTTGAAGAGAAAGGAATGGGTATTTTAGGCAGAAGGATAATTAGGACCAAGGCAAGAGGTGTGAAAGAGCACAGTGTTTTTGGAGGAAACCAGAGGTTGTGTGTGTGGTTTGAGCATGAGGTCTATTAGGACTGTGGGCAGAGATAGGTTAGCCTAAATTGTGAAGGGCATTGGATGACCTGCTAAGGAGTTTGGACTTAATTCTGTGGGAACCACAGACGATTTTTTAAGCATGGGAGTTTTCATCAAATTTGTTTTCTAATAGGAGCCATTTTGGTTACAGTGTAGAAGATGAATTGAAAAGGGATTATGAAGACTCCTAGTAAGCTACATAGGGGTCCAGCAGAGAAATTATGAGGGTCTCAACTCAGACCAACCAGCAGCCCTTGCCCAAGTACTACTAACTTTGGACAAATCACAATAACTTTTTTAAGGGGTAGTTTCTAAGGCATAGTAGAAGTAACAGTAACAATAATAGCTACTCTTTACTGAATCTTACTAGGTGCCAAGGAAAGGACTGTGTTATAGTGAAATACAGGTTAGGGCACTGCCCCAAATCACGGAGTCAGTACCTACTAGTGCTGATTTGATCTAGGTGTGAGTACTCTAGAGCTCACCTATCACAGAGCTGCCTCTCAGAGAGCCAGGTGACTTGCATGAAATCAGAGGTCCCTTCTAGATTTGAGATTCTTTTAAGTGCAGATTGACATTTCTGAAGGTGCTGGATAAAGTAGTAATCATATTTGGGTAGATTTAGTCAGGAGAATTTTCTTGAAGAGGTGAATTCTGAGGGAGGCTGTCAAGTTAGAAGAGACAGTGATTAGCTCATTAAGTAGCCCAGACTATCTGGAAATTAAAGGGAAGAGTAAATAATAGCAAGATGTTGAAGGTATCAAAGGAGGTGGTTTCTAAGCACAGATGAGTGAGCATTCTTCACTTGTTTATCTGGATCAACCAGTAGAGCAGTTGTTTTGAGTCTTTTCTGTGTTTGGTGCTGTTTCATGTCATCTATGACCTAACTGGTTCATTGGAGGTAAGTCCTAACATGAGCTAGGACAATGAGTATTACAGCCAGGTCCATGGCTAATTTTTGTGCAGCTTGGGCAGATGTAGAGTATAGCTTAGTTCAGCTTTTTATTTTCCTCTCTCTCTTTCTTGTTTAAATAATACTGTTTTTTTGGCGAAAATGTACACAGCAAATTATGTTTCCATTTGATAACTTTCACATAAAAGCATTCAGGGACATTAGTTACATTTTCCATAATGTGTTAACATTCTCTTTAGTTGTGTTCTGGTTATTCCATTATTACTCTAGTTTCTCTGATCCCTTATATTCTCATTTTGCTTTAGAATAAATGTCATTGAATTTCTGGTCTCATAAGATGTTTGTTTGTTTGTTTGTTTTTTAGCAGAGCACAAATCTTATGGCTAATACCCTTTATTTTGTGTGCCACTCTGCTATTGGACTAAAAAATGGTCTTAGGGGATATTTTCTTTCCTTCTTTCTTTCTTCTCTTTCTTCTTTCTTCTCTCTCTCTTTCTTTTTTTCCTGCTGCACAAGAAGGGGATATTGTCAGTTCAAAGTTTAAAGAGTGTCTCAGGACAGTAATCTCAAGGGAGTCCTCTGGTCTCCACTGGTCCAATTAGTCTGGCCTTTTTTTTAAGAATTTGAGTGTTTTTCTACATTTTTCTCCTATCCTATACGGAATCATTTATTATGATCCCAGCGAGAACAGTCAGTGGTGGTAGCTGGGCACAATCTAGTTTTTCTTGTCTTAGGATGGATGAAATGAGTGGCCTGCCATGTCACCTGCTGATCTTGAGACTGTTTCTGGACTTAAACTAGTGGCCTGATGTATTGCTTGATAACCTTGAGACTGTGCCATTTTACTTGTTGATCTTGGATTTGTCAGCCTCAGCAGCCAGCAACTTCCTGAGTTAACAGAGGCCTTTAGCTCCAGTGAGCCAGGAGCAACAGGCAGAGCTGAAGCAAAGCCCAAGGTTGAGGGACCTTTACCCAGCCCCTAGATCTGGCACTTTGAAATCAGCTGTCTAGCCTCCTAAAGTGTAAGAGAATAAATCCCTGTTTGTTAAAGCCATTTATTTGTGGTTTGTCTGTTATAGGAGCACTAGAGAACTGAAACAGTGTATTTATTACAGACAGCAAAAGGATAGATCATGTCTTTTTTGTTTTGTTTCACTTTTTTGTCCATTTTACCATTTTCTGCTTTTTGCATGGAGAGTTTAGACCATTTACATTTATGATTATTACGGAAAACAAAACATCTACCTTCATTTTGCTATTTGGTTTTTGAGTATTTCTTATCTTCTTTGCCTTTTTCTTCTTATTTTGCTATTATTATTTGTGTTTGACTGCTTTCTTGTGATGAGTCCTTTTATTTCTTCCTTTTCCATTTCTTTTTTCTAAGTGACTGTTTAGTGGTTACCACACATAGTATATTACATAACTTGCCTTTGTGACACTTAACATATGAACAAGAGACCATACAACATTAATGTATTAAATCTATTCCTGATTTGCTCTTCCATTTTTTGTTGATGAGTCTCCATTAATATAACTGTATATTCTATATCTGACAGGTTTCCTTTGTTCTTATTTTTTGCAAACTTGGTGTTGTAGTGCTTGTGACACTAAATTATTG